ATTACTGTAGGGTACAACCTGCACAACCTTCCATGGTGGCCCTGGGGATCATACAAAAGTTTTATGAACTAGTTTCTGCTTCACTCAACTATTATGATGCCAATTCTGTAATTCCTACTCTATTGCGATAAATATAATTACTTAAATAGCATTTTGGCTTCTTTTTAGGAACTCATTTATTAATATAGCTTTGTTTAGCATTGTCATAGCTATTGTGCTTCTGTTCCTAATTATTACAATTCAGTTGTATTACATGTGACCCTATTTAATTCGGAAAAATTAAATACACAAAGAAAAACAGATCACACAGATTTCTTTAGTAGCTCAAAGTTCCCTAAGATCATAAGAAGAAATACTTACATAAGGTTTCTGAGCCACGGCCATGTGTATACCTGATATTTTTACTGGTTTTCTGAATAGCACGAACTGCTTCACTGGCTACTAGAGACTGGAAGCAATAACATATGGAATTTCAGTTAATGTGCAGCTTTGAAACATGACAAGTAGAAGTTTCCAAAAAACAATCATACATTAATTTAATCAAAATGTACATGTAGAAAATCTAGATTCATCTAAAAGGCAAATAAATAAGATAAACAAATTAAAAATGTGCACTTTATGGCAATCACAATTGGGTGGCTTTAAACATAAACTATTTCAATATATTGAAATTTTAATTTGCAGAAAAGAATCGTATGCCTTTTTGGGAATTCATTTATTATGGAAAATGAAGTATAACTACATTTCAAAGGCTTAGAGGTACTCCATTTCTGAACAAAATTATCACCAAACTTTAAATCCAACCTCTCTAAACACACACATACACCTAATGCATGCATGATTCACTTCTTATCCTTCTCACAACTTCTATTTTCTTCTTGTGTAAAATGTCTAATGACTTCCACAGATTCATCAAATCAAAAAAGATTATGCCTCTGGTATGGAGCAGGATAATAACTAAGACCCCCATTTGACTTCATTTTGTTCTAGCTTATAAAAATCTATTCTGAAGTTCTCACTTATCTGGAACTTTTCTGAAATTGGAACTAGCATCATGGTATACACTGTCACCTTCTTGAAAAACTCAGAGATTTATCAGTGGATATTATTTTATGCCATCTCTTTGTTCAAAACATAAATTTTAATGGAACCCCATTGTCTACAGAATCAAATACAAGTTTATCTGACAGTCACACCCCTTCAGAAGCCAACCTAATCTACTTTCTGATGGTATCACCCTCCACTTTTGCATCGTCTTACGGGGAACACCCACTTCTCTGCTTGGAAGGTCCTCCCTTCCCTGTCTGCCTATAGAAATCCTCTTTCAATGCCTGTCTAAAATGTAGCTGATCTTTGACATCAACAGCACTTTATTATTCATGGGTTTTTTTCCCCCTTAATAGATGGTAAATTTCTCAAGGACAGTAACTACTTTATCTCCTCGCTTATCTCAGCATTTCCCTCTGAATGCATTAATGAAGCCATCCCTTGATATTCTAGTTAGGAGTTGTACTGTCTATGCCACTTATTTAGTAGTTACTCTGTGTCACCTTAGAGTACAGCTGTTTGTAACATCTGCTAGTGGTTGAGCTCCCTAACCATAACACATTCTCTTAAAAGGCAAGATTTTACCTAATGCTTCTTTAAACATCCATTGACAAGGTATTTTACACGTAATGGCTCTCAACATATATGTGTGCTGACAGTAATGCAAAAAAAAAAAAAAAAAAGCATAATTAGACTAATTCTATTTCCCAAATCATGATAAATTTCCTTTTATTTCTTCAAAGATAGTATTTTAAAAGGTGCTTTCCTTAAGAGTTTTCCCTTGAGAAGAAAAAAGCTCAAGTATCAAGTATGTTTATGTTCTAAATGGGCTACTTTCAGAAAATGCAAACAATTTTATATTTGTCATCAGCAATTGCTAGCTCCTGTAATGTGACTATATTTTATTCTGTTAAGAGAGCCAGAAAAAAAAATGTGTCACTAAGAAACAAGCTACTACCTAAAAATTAGTCCCTTCCCAAGAATGGGGCTGTTGATGTAACACTTCCACTGTCTGGAGAGCATCTGCAATGAGGATTTGTCGAAGCCTAGCTACAATCCTTCAAGAATCCTTGCATCTTTTGCCATCAACCCAAACGTACAGTATCTTGGGCTAAAAAGTGCTCAGGGAGTATCAAATTGTATGAGTCCTCTTTGAACTTCCTGTATTGTCCGTTATGTTCCAAAAAACAGACTCTTGCCTCAGTGCTAAAATTGGGGGTACTTTAATGGGACCAAAACCTTGAAGGTTCGGAAAGTCAGGGCATGAACAATTCCTGCTGCTAATCCCAAAACAATGAGTGTTGTGTTGAGACTGAATCTGTGGTCCGCTGTTGCAGGAAGCTAGTGACCACAAAGCTGTCGCATGATTCCATACTCATCCTTGCTTATACGGCTTCACATACAGATCAGGTCAAGTGGAATAGTTCCTTCCTAACCTTCAAGGAATTTGTCTGACATTTTCTTAGGAAGCCCATGTGCTAGAATAAAGTGCATGTTGTTAGGGTAAGGCATGTTCTTTACATTCCCTTAATGAACACTGACCCAGGGTGACTCTCAACAGGATCACACCATGATTTAAAACATCTATCATTTGCCTTCTAGAGGACAAAAATTTTCGCAGTTTTTGATTCTTCAACTAAGTGTTATTTTATTTCCAAAATGCTAATGAGAAAAATAATTAAGTAGCACTTACCAATTCCTCGTGGTCTTTGCTTTTGCTTCGATTATAGGAATATGGAAACACTATATGCTGGGAGTATGAATGCATGCTGATGTATGCTTTAATGTGGTTGATATTTCTTCTCAAGAAATTAGCCACCGCCTTCGCTTCTGGTTCTGACTCAGGATAAAGTCCACAGTAGGTTTCCGAGCATGAGAAACTGGATGCACCTTCCTCTGCAGTGAAATTGATAAGGTGAAATTATGAGGGGATGCACATAGTTCTGTAATTTGTGGTTTTCCAGACAACGTATTCTCCTATCTATGTTGCAACATTTTTAGATGAATGGATTAGGTAGGGCTCTGCAAAGAACATATTTCCACTAAGTGTTGTTTATGTTTCTTTTGAAGTCAGATACTTATCTGCTCACACAGCTGACCTTCTAACAGTCATTCCCAGCACCTGTCTCCCTTGCGACCTTGAGAAAGTGGCTAAGAGAGTCTCAGAGATACCAGCCCTATCTCCAGACTTCTGGATATGTGAGAAAAAATAAACCCCATTTTCCTTAATCCACTGTAAATTTAGTTTTTCTGATATTTGTAGTTTTAAAGCTACCATTAATATAGCCCATAAAAGAAAAGCCTCACTTCACAACTCAGAATATGTAAGTCTGCCTTCAGTGCTACTTTTAACTTGCTAAAGTGGTTTAGTAAATAAAATGGGATGATGGTATTTGTTGCCAGACCAACGTTCATTCGTTCCTTTAATAGATTATAATTTGCATCACTTCAGATGGTACCCTGCCTTCCAATACTTCTCCCCCTGTCCCTAATTCACAAGGGCGAAGCTCCAGCATGCTGCATCTGACACAAGAGATTATCCCTTCCTGCAAACAGTTGAGGGCTCAGGATTGGGTCTGACTCTTGTGCTTTGCCAATCTGAATCCCTTCAAAGATAACTTGAAATCAATACTAAGAGTCTTATCTCAGTCTAGCTGCTGTCTTGAACAGACACTAAAAATAGTAATACTACCAGCTGACGCCTGTGGAGCACATGCTATACGTCAGGAACTCTGCTAGGATTTGTGGCAAAAATTTATTCTTACAGCAGCCTGATGAAGTAAATACTGTTATTTTAGGAGATGCAATCTGGATATTCTTGGTGATAACCATTCTTCAAAATAAGAGGCTATACAGCATATTGTTAAGCACCCAACTACTGGATTCTAAATCTTGACTTTACCATTTATTAGCTATATGGCCTTGGGTAAATGTTTAAAAATCTATCTGTATCTCCATTTCCTTATCTGCAAAATGGAAAAATTACACATTAAATGCTGATTGAATGAGGATTAAATGAGTTAGTTCATACAAAGTGCTTTGCACAGTGCCTGGCATGTAGTATGCATTTCATAACTGTTGCTGTTTATCATCATCATCATCATCATGTGGACTGAGACCTGAAGGAAGCCAGTGTGCATCACAGAGATGAAAAAGGGAGAGAAAGGTTCACTGAGTGTCTCTAGGGCTCCAGGCCCAGTTCCCTTCTGTTTCTGAGTCCAGCTGCATCCCTGCCTCAGGGTTCCATGGGCTACTTACTATCCTTACAGAGCCTGCTTTTCTTATTTAAGTTCATTCTGCTTTCTTCCTGTTATTATACAAGCATAACATTAATATTTGTTAAAAAATGTTTCCCTGAGAGGAAATGTGCTGAACATCTTAGGTCTTCCGAAGTATTTCATTTTTAACCAATAAGGTGATTGGATAAACCATTTTTCATAGTTTGGTCACCTTTGAATATTCCTGCCCTTTTATGTGGTATATAATTCTACAGAATAGAGATTATGTATTGGGTATGGAGGTCGGGGAAGACATAACCATTGAATAGAGAGGTGGTGCCCTAATATGAATCCTCAGACCAGGGTTGTTTAATAGAAATATAATGCAAGTCACATATTTACTTTAAATTTTCCAGTTACTACTTTAAGAAAAATAAAAAGGCCAGGCACGGTGGCTTATGCCTATAATCCCAGCACTTTGGGAGGCTGAGGCGGGCAGATCAGTTGAGATCAGGGGTTTGAAAACAGCCTGGCCAACATGGTGAAGCCCTGTCTCCACCAAAAATACAAAAAAAAAAAAAAAAAAATAGCCAGGCATGGTGGTGCACACCTGTAATCCCAGCTACTTGGGAGGCTGAGGCATAAAAATCACTTGAACCTGGGAGGCAGACGTTGCTGTGAGCTGAGATCGTACCACTGCACTTCAGCCTGGATGACAGAACGAGACCCTGCCACACATACACAAAAAGAAATATGTGAGATTAATTCAATATTATAATTTATTTAACCAAATATGTACAAAGTATCATTTCAAATGTAACCAATATAAAAATTATTCTTGAAATATTTTATGTTACTTTTTTCATACTGGGTCTTCAAATTCTAGTGTGTATTTAACACTCAGTGTATGTCTCAATTCAGACAAGCTAAATTTTAAGCACTGGATAGCCACATGTGGTTAGTGGCTACTGTCCTGGACAGCCTCGGATTCTCATTCTATGACTGTCATCCTAGAGATTTCAAGCCATTTAGTGGAAAGAGCCTTGAAGAGGCAGGAAACTTGAGGTTGAAACTCTGCTTTACCATTAAGCAGTCATGTTAATTTGGGCAACTACTTCATCCATCTCAGCCTCAGGGGCCTCATCTGTACCACGAAGGAACTTGGGCCACTGGATCCCTCCAAGTTCAAGCATTATTTCATCTATAGACATGGAACCAAGCACACTGTGAAATATCTACAATAGGCAAATTCATAGAGACAGAAAGTAGATAAGACATTACCAAGGGCTGGGGAGAAGGTAGGGATGAGGAGATATTGCCTACTGGTAACAATAGGCAAAAATCTGTCTTTGTGACAAAAAATTTTAGGAATAGATAGTAGTAATTGTGAATGTACTTAATGCCACTGAATTGTACAATTAAAAATGGTTAAAACGGCAAATTTTATATTACATGTATTTTATCATAATAAAAAATAATTTTAAAAAACACTATAGTCTCCTAGAAAAAGAAGTAAAGGATTTTCCATTCAAGCCAGTTGCAAAAACTTTGTAGTTGAACTCAGTGTTTTAGAAAATGTGTAGGGCTGTCTTAGGTAATTTGAGACCACAGGTTCTCATAATGTGCTCCCGTTATCAACTGAATTGCATCCTCCAGAAATTCCTGTGTTGAAGCCCTAAGCCCCAGTGTGACTGTATTTAAAGACAAGGCCTTTAAGGAGATAAGGTGAAATGAAGTCATAATCGTGGGGCTCTAATCCAATGTGACTGGTGCCCTTATAGGAATAAAGAGAGACACCAGGGAGGTTTGTGTAGAAAGACAAGGCCATGTGAGGGCACAGAGAGAAGGCAGCTGTCTACAAACCAATGAGAAAATCCTTGGGAAGAGCTCACTCTGTTGGCACCTTGATTTTGGACTTCCAATCCTCAACTGTGAGAAAATAAATTTCTGTTGTTTAAGCCACCCAACCTATGGTGTTTGGTTGTAGCAGCCTGAGAAGACAAAGACACCCCTACAACCTACCCTCCACTCTCCTCTCCAATACACACACACAAAATTGTAATACAGAGGAGCATAAAATGAGTAAGTAGGTTTGATATGTCACTTCCTGTTAATAAGTGAGGAGGTTTTTAGATCCTTTATATAAAGAATCGTAGGGGCACATTCTAGTTGTAGGGATGAGAAAGATAAGATTAAATTCTTTTTTCTCACTGTCTTGCTTACATAATACAGAATACATACTGAAACAGTTGGTAATAAAAGGAGTTCCTTACAATTATTTTTTATTTTTGGGTTTTTTTAAATTAAAAACCCATATGCTTGCTGCTTCTGTTTCTGTTTTTCACTCTTGTGATACTTAACAATATAGCACCATGCCTAAGAGGGGACTGAGACATTTCTTGATGACAATAACAGAATATATTTTGACTACTTGGCTATCCAAATTAAATAACACTGACTTCACCAAGAAACGTATTAGGTAAAATCAAGCACCAAAAGAGCTCGAAGATAAATAAAAAGTTCCAAAAAGGAACTGATAACCTGGGTTTATATCCCAGCTCTGCCACGTACTTGCGCGGACTTGCTACGTGCCCTTGAGAAAGGGACTTAACTGTTTTCAGCCTGGGTTTCTCCATCTATGATTCGTAGATAATGAAATCTGGGAGATGAACTATGTCAATGGCTCAGCGCTGAGTAACTGTCAGCTCTATTTATTCAGATTCTTTTTACATCGCTGCTGTTCCTGGGAGCCCCTGGCCCACTATTAGTGCCACTGCACCTTTGCGCCTCTGGGAACACGAGTGGTTTCTTAGGGAGAAACCACTAAATGATTCCCTGGAACCTAAGTCAGGATGAACTACTTCTTCCTCTGAGTTCCTACCAAATCTGTAGCTCTTAGAGCAACTAATTCATTCATGGACTCATTTAGTTAATATTTTATGAGGACCCTCCTTGTGCCAGGCACTGCACTAGGTAATGGGTATTGATTTCTGTTCGCATGGAGTTTCAAACCTGGACAGGGAAAAAAATAAGGAAATAAGGTAAGTACTTTGTTGTGAGGTTTGGTTTTCTTTTGTTTTGGCAATCAGCTTTCCCGGGCTGAATGTTGTGAGGTTTTAATAGGTATTCTGGGGTTTTGATAAAATGTTTAAAATCATGAAATTTTACATTTTTTAAAGGAAATAGGCAAAATTATGTGCATAGGATTGTATAGGGTCCAGGTCTGGGAGGAAGAGGATGTTTCTGTGGGTACAGTAGCTTCTCTCTCTTATGGGCTCCATAGAGCCCAAAAATACAGATGTTGCATACTCCTTGTTAGGTTAGTTTACTTTCACAGCTGTTTCTGAAATGTAGTACTATGAAAAATAATGTTGAGTGGGTGGGAAGAAAGAGTGAAGTAACACCTACCCCCCTAAAAGCAAACTACTTTGTTTTCAGGTTCAGGGAGTACATGTGCAGGTTTGTTCCACGGATATATTGTGTGATGCTGAGGTTTGGGATTATATTGAACCCATCACCAAATAGTGAACACAGTACCACGTAGGTACTTTTTCAACCCTTTCCCCCTCTCTCCTTCCCTGCTCCTTTTTTGAGTCCCCAGTGTCTATTGTTCCCATCTTTATGTGTGTGTATACCCAGTGTTTAGCTTTTACTTATAAGTGAGACGATACAGTATTTGATTTTCTGTTTCTGTGTTAATTTACTTAGGACAATGGCTTCCAGCTGCATCCATGTTGCTGTAAAGGACATAATTTTGTTCTTTTTTATGACTGTGTAGTATTCCATGGTATGTATGTACCACATTTTCTTTATCCAATCCGCCATTAACAGACACCTAGATTGATTCCATGTCTTTGCTATTGTGAATAATGCTGCAATGAACATCCGATTGCATGTGTCTTTCGGGTAGATCGATTCATTTTCCTTTGAGTATATACCCAGTGATGAGATTGCGGAGTCGAACAGTAATTCTACTTTTAGTTCTTTGAAAAATCTTCAAACTCCTGAAAGCAGACTGTTCTTAAATGCATAACTCAACATCACCTAATGCCTTAACTCAAATTAAGAAATAATAAATTCCCACTGTACTTCTTTTTATATTATTTTTAATATTGTTATTTTTAAATTTTCTTTATATTATTTATTAAAGAAATTAAGAAAGTGAATAGTGAAAAAAATGTCTACAAACACTATAGAAGTAAACATTTACTTGTGCAATTAAAAAATGAGGGGTCCAGGCCAGGCACAGTGACTCACTCCTGTGAGCCACTTTGGGAGGCCGAGGTGGGCGGATCACTTAAGGCCAGGAGTTTGAGACCAGCTTGGCCAACATGGTGAAATCCCATCTGTACTAAAAAAAGATACAAAAATTAGCCAGGCATGGTGGCATATGCCTGTAGTCCCAGCTACTCGGGAGGCTGAGGCAGGAGAATCCTTGAACCTAGGAGGCGGAGGTTGCAGTAAGCCAAGATTGTGCCACTGCACTCCAGCCTGGTCAACAGAGCAAGACTGTCTCAAAAAAAAGAAAAAAGAGAGGTCCTCCCCCGATCTCAGGTCTTTGATATTCTAATGGTGAATGTTTTTGTTTATTAAAATAGGATCTTTAACTGTCACTTCTTTATTATTCCAGGATAATAGATTTTAGAATTTTGAAGCTAGAAGGAATCTTAAAGAACTGATTCAACTTTCTTATTTTAAAGATAGGAAAACAGGAGAGAGGAGAGGCCAAAGTGATTTTCTGACTCTGGCCAACATTGGTAGCATTACATTTACCTAAGCGTTTATCATTTAAATTATTCCCTGATTCAGACAGGCTAGCTCTGTATTTAATTTGAATTCATGGGCCTTTCTCTGTGACAATCACCCTTTCAGTGAAGAGATATTGCAAGAAATAAAGCCAACAACCTACCACACCAGTGTTTGGACGCAAAGTTCCTGTTCAGGTCTGTTCCGATGCAACGATTGTTCGCATAGAAAGAACGATTCTTTCTCCACATTCGATTCTACATAAACAAAATACAGACAACCTGGGTGGCCACGTTCAGGGCCCAAGGAAAAACACGCATGTGAAAGTCCATGAAACCAGAGTTGCCTTTCTCTCCTTCAACCCCATACCTTGCATGGCTTCATCACATTGCTGTCGTTGTAATATTCCTTTGCATGGCCCCTATTGCTATCCGGGTTTCAATCACATCCACTCAGACTATTTTAGTTGAACCAAACAAAATGGTAATATTTGATCAATTTTGACTGATAAAAATAAAGATTTCATTTCATTCCACTAGGCTGCTTATTAGCCTTCTTGTTTAGTCTTGTTTCCTTTACATTAATTTTATGCACAGGGTCATTTTGAGCTCCTTCGAAGAAAAGCAAAATAACTTTGTGTCTCAACTCAGCACTGAGTCATAAGTTAAAATGCTCTCTTTAGGTTGAATTCACTACTCCTCTTTCAAAACTAGAAAAGGTGGAGATGTGAAGACACCTCTAATCTGATGACTTCTTCAATTGTACTGATTTGACTCTGGTTTTTATATATAAAGCAAATTCCCTATTGGGTTATTGGGGCAAACCAGGAAAGTTTGGTCATGTAAAGAGTTGCACAGACTTTGTTTAAGTTCTGAGTTTGGGATGATATAGCACCCTTTTCTCCTACTCTCACCAACCCTCTGCCAAGCCTTCCAGCCTGTTACCACTCCCAAGCCTGTGGTTCAGTGGCAACAGTAGACCCTGGGGATATCAAGTTCTCAAACTGTGGGAATTAGTAATAGGGTAATGATACAAAGAACAGTTGGGAAGTTGGAAATCTAAAGGGTGACTGAATTCCACTGTGATTCAGGTTAAGGTGTAAATATACTTTATTATCAGTTTACAGATATGACCATTTATTGGACACCAAATTTGTGTTAGGCATTATGCTAGGTAATTCTCAATTACTTAGTTTGGCATTTGCCCACCTCCACCTACAAAATTTTCAGTTACAGTATTCCTCTCACCAGAGATGACTTTTTCCTCAGTCTCCTGTGCCATGTCTATCTCTTCTGCATAAATTACCTCCTATATGAAATAATTCATGTGTAATTCCATATGTTTCCAATCATGCCAACTAATCTTCTTCCTCTTAGTATTTATATGTGCTACTCAAATAGGGTTTTCTAAATTTATATATACCTAGTTATGTTTCTATGTGCCCCTTTAAATTAGAAAGCATAGTATTTCATATTGCTTGAGTAATTTTACATGAATCACTATGTTGATTAACCAGAAAATACAGATCGAAGAGTATGTTAAACTACAAGATGGTAATGTAATTAGCAAATCCTGATAAGGGGAAACTCTTTTCTTTGACAAATAAATTGCAAGGAAAAACAAAAAACAAAAAACAGAAAGAGCAAAAGATGGAATGGGAGTCCGTGGATTAAAATAGAATTGAAAGACCTATAAACCAATCATAATGTAAGAGCCTTATTTGGATCCGGAATCAAAGAAACATACTTTTTAAAAAGTTATGAGGCCGGGCGAGGTGGCTTATGCCTGTAATCCCAGCACTTTGGGAGGCCAAGGCAGGCAGATCACAAAGTCAGGAGTTTGAGGCCCCCTGGCCAGTATGGTGAAACCCCGTCTCTACTAAAAATAAAAAAAAAAAAAGCCAGGTGTGGTGGCAGGCACCTGTAGTCCCAGCTACTCAGGAAGCTGAGGCAGAAAAATCTCTTGAACACAGGAGGTGGAGGTTGCAGTGAGCCGAGATCGTGCCACTGCACTCCAGCCTGGGCAACAGAGCGAGACGCCATCTCAAAAAGAAAAAAAAGTTATGATACAATTGAAAATACTGGCAATATTTTATGGTATTCAGAAATGGTTAATTTTCAAGGTATAATTATACTGTAATTTTTTTTTCAGAGTTCTTTTTTTTAGAAATGCATACTGAAATATTTATTGATGAAGTGATATGGTACCTAGGATTTACTTCAAAATAAAATGAGTAAGGTAGAAGTGGGTAGAGAGAATTCAGATGAAACAAGACTGGCCATGAGTTAATTATTGTTGAAGCTCTGTGATGGGTAGATAGAAGTTTACTACACAATTATGTGCACTTATATATATTTGACATTTTCCACAATAAAAGTTTAAAAATGTAATAATAAAGCCATTGTGCTTAGATCCAGACTTCTATGAATAATTCAACCTATATATCCTATATCTCCAAGGAGAGCATGATTTGTCTTCTTTGCCTTTTCTCCTACCTTTTTCCATGAGTAGTCATAACCATCCACATTAACCACTGGCATAACATAGAAATCCACATGCCTCAGAAGATTGGTATATTCCCCTATTATCCCATAGTATTCAGTTATCTGCAAATTAAATGAAGAATATTTAATTAGATCTGTTTTAAGTTCTTCTAAACTTAGTGTGTGTGTGTTTTTTCTTAGTTTGTCATTTGGCATGTTTAGATTTGCAGATTTAACTTTCAGAAAGAGTGCTAATTCCTCAAAAGAACTGAACTTAGGGTACTCTGCTACAAAGTGGTGATAAATGCCTTACACATGGTGCAGTCTTCCTAATTAATGAAGGCAGAAAATCGAACCATAAACTTCCTAAATTTTCCTTAAGAAATAATATTAACTCTTTATTGAAGCCATAGAGCCCACTACGAAGATTTAAGGAAACAAAAAAGTAGATCTAGTGTAGCTCCTTTTTCCGTAATTCATGTTCATCAGAGCTTAAACTACCTACCATATTTTATCCCCAGAGGTGATTACCTGATATTTGCTACATTGTCCTTAGAACTTGTGGAGCTCAAGTTTTGCTAGAATTGAGTGTGTTTCCCAAGCATTTGATCATCTAGCTTTAGAATTGGGGTAGCTTCTCCTAGGTACTGGCTATGAATTCCTGACAGACATCATCTCAAACTTGTTCCTCTCTACTTTAGAGTCATCCAGCTTAGCGGTACATATTACAATGTGATCCAATGGCCTCCAAATTTGGTGGCTGAGAAATTTACCCCAAAATGCCAAAATGTACAGGCAGGAGAACTATAAAGACAAATTTTAGCTGGTCAAATGATTTCACCTAGGACAAAGCTTTTGGTTTAAAATCTTAATTTGTGGCAACATTGCTGTATTTTAATTTAATTCACAATTAATTACATTAAATATTTAATTTGGCTTACAATTCAATAAATATTTAAATTGCCTTAAAGTATACTCATGGCATTGTTAAGAAATGTCTTTTTTATTATTATTGACAAAATAAAAACAAGCCTTTTATAAACTTTACTATTTTCCCTTTAAATGTTTAAAATATTATATTCATATTTCCCTAGAACAATCACAAGAGTCACATTAAAGTTCTTTGCCATGAAGAAATACTTATGAAATCAGAGAGAAAGGAAAGAAAAATGTTATTTTAAAATCTACTGTAAGTCAGAAATAAAAGGTTAATGAAAAGGAAGCAAAATTTGTAGAATGAAGGAAGCCATGTTTTGTTTTGTTTGTTTGTTTGTTTGTTTATTATACTTTAAGCTCTGGGATACATGTGCA